GCATAAGCCTCACTGAGTATAAAGAATATCTGAACCCCCCAATTCACATTTAAACCACCCTCAGTATGATATTAGCCCCCAAACAATGTAATTTGTTTTCAGTCCACAATTCTAACCTGAGGCACATGTCTGGATACACCTTTATTGGATTGCTAAGGATAATTTCTGGGACTGTTTCTGAATCTTTGATATAAGTTTGATGTGCAGCTATTATCAGATGATTGATATCAAATCAAAATGTTTACATGTATATTGTAAAACATTTTTTTTCCTGGTTGACTGGCCCATGTTACCCATAAATTGAATTACAAAATAGGTTAATTGATATATGCTATATAATAATTCCAAAATAAAATTGCTAAAAGGCTATTAAAATAGAAATGATTCTATGTTTTAGCTGAAACTGTCTTTCTAATGATTATATGCCAATCTTAAAAGCTTTCTCATTCTCTTCAAAGGGCTGTCAGTAAAATAACAATAACAAAGCACCCTATTTATTTTTGCAGATTCTCACCAAGAAAATAAAGCTTATGTATTTAAGTTCTTTTTGCCAAGGTTCTTTGCTGCTCATATAAATCATCTGATGGAATTAAAAACAAGCTCAAGTTTTCTTTTCCAATTATTTCTCTAGACAAATTGGCACCTCTTTTCATGAATCAAGACTATTTCAGCATTAGTAATTTTGCAAAGTAGGAATTACTTGTGGTTCCTGGAGATTTTATGATCTCATTCGTGTTACTAATTCAAAGAACTAAAATGAGTAGAGTTGATTTGAGCATTTTTGCTTCATTCTAGTGCAGGGGGCCCCAACCCCCAATCCATGGACTGGTACCAGGCCACAACATACCAACAACCGGGTTGCGCAAACAAGTGAAGCACCATCCACTGAATGCAAGCAGCATATGAAACCACGCCCCCTCTGGGCGCTGAAAAATCTTTCGCCACAGAACTGGTCCCTGGTGCCCAAAAGGTTGGGGGCCTCTGTTCTAGTGACTTTTAAAAAAGTTTCTTACACCTTGGTATCATTTCTGCAGGGAATATTGCCCCAAAATATCTAGTAAATATATACTAGATGAGGAACTGCATATGCCAGCTTCTGTGAAGGAGGATTATGAATTATGAAATGTACCAAAAAGTCTCTCATGACCTAGAGAGCAGATGTGCAGCAACTTGTTCGCATTTTCCTTAGCTCCAGATTACTAGACTACATCTGTGCTACTGTAGGGTGAAAGTATCCATAGTTGGATTCACACAGTCAAAATATGGTTTACGTTATGCATTTATAGAATATTTTATTTGTTTACTAAGAAGGAAGTCTGAATGAGTTCAGAGGATTTCCTTCTTAGTAAGCAGCCAGTTGGACTGTAGCCCAATCTAATCTACAATATTTTCTATATCAAGGCCATTGCATAAAGAAAGGCAAGCATGACTTCTGCTTTGCCATTGTGGCCACCGCAGACGCTGCAAGGTGAGCTCCATCTTCCATGTTTGATTTTGCACCACTGGGGGACCCTGGAAAGGGTCAAAAATCACCCTGCAGGGGTGACCAGCAAGGAGGGGATCCCTGATTGATCGCAGGAAGGTGGTAGCCCTTCTGTTCGATCCAGGGCAGTCCTCCAAACCAGCGGATGAAAGACCGGCCATAGAAATATGGCTCGTCACTAGCTGCAGACAGCCAGTCAAACTTACCACCAGGTACTACAAAGAAGCATGGATGAGACTTGGGTGAGATCTTAAAGAACCTCTCTTTAATCCCAAGTATTTTTTTTCTCCTACAAAAGCTGCCCAAAGTATCTTCCCCCCTGTGAGGAGAGAGGGAAGGGAACTTTTATCCCACTCTCTAAGAATAATGGTGACTGACTATCCAGGGGAGTTAAAACACTGAAAGAATAACCTTAATCTAATTGGCTTTATATGCTTCTAGAATTTGGGGACCAAAAGATTTTTTATTCTTATCGAAGATCTTGGTTTCTATTTACAAAAAAGAAATAAAATTGAAAAAAGGATTATAAAAATTTTGGACTTAAAAAAACCTTAAATGGCATTGGTGACATCTTGTGATTAAGTTTGATATTACAACTTGTTATTGTCTAAAGGAGACTTGGCTGGAAGTCCAGACTACAGATAAGACTTTTTTTAACCTTGACAATTATCAGTTGTGAGAAGCTCAGCGGTGTTCTATACTCAGTTATTAAATTATTTTCACTCTCTGACTTTAAAGCTTTTAATTTAACACACTACTAAGAGAATATGGATGAAGATCAGGAACAGATTCTCTTTATGTTGAAAGCAATACATGAAACCATTCTTTCAGCTTGTGATGAAATAAGATGCTATAGAAAAGAACAAGATGTCAGCCTAGATATACGAACTCAAATTTTGACTACAACTCAAGAATCAACTACACAAAACATAACAGAAAAAGTGGAACAATTAAATACTATGACAGAGTATTCAACTGACAAATACAGTCAATGGAAAGTTCAGAAAAGGGACTGACAACATTGAAAATGGAAAAAACTTTCTATATAAACCAGAAGAAACTTGAGGAGCAAGAAGAAGAACAGACTGAAGGGAAGAAAAACATATCAGGACAATTATGGTGATCTGGAATAATAGACGATTGATTAGCCCTTCCCCAAAATGGTGACTGGATGGTCTCTTTTATTTCAAATAATATATATAGTAACAAAGGGAGATCTATTTGATGACCTAAAAGCACTGACATGGAGGGCGAGATGGCAAAGGAAGAAAGCTAGAATAAGGCTGAAGAAAATTGGGGTTTTGATTTATCAGCGAGGATTTTATATTACTAATTAAAATAGAATATATTTAAATGGACAAGATGTGCATTTTGAATACCAGATTTTGTTATGAATTGAGATAAAGCAAACTTTGGTTATTTAAAACCTGGAAGTATAAAGACTAAAAGTTGAATTTGAATATTGATGGGGAAATAAAAAAAATTGGGGAAAAGAAATAAATAGGATATTGATTGTTTATAAAGATTGAATGTAAAAATAATTAAGATACGTAATAAGCTAAAATTTATTGATAAATGTAATAAATATGTTTTTATTTAATTGAGATAATAAGAACTGTATTAGCTTAAATATGAGATATCAAGAGAAAAAGAGAGGAAATGTTTAATGTTGAAATAGGGGAAATTTTGGTCATTAAATTTAAGACATTTGGAAACTAGTTGAAAATAAGAAATGTTATAATGTATTGTTAATTAGACTCACTGGAGAAGGGCCTAATGCTGGGAAAGATTGAGGACAATAGAAGAACGGGACGACAGAGAATGAGATGGCTGGATGGAGTCACTGAAGCAGTAGGTGTGAACTTAAATGGACTCCAGAAGATGATAGAGGACAGGAAGACCTGGAGGAACATTGTCCATGGGGTCGTGATGGGTCGGACACGACTTCGCAATTAACAACAACAACAAAATTGTTAATTAGACAATGAAAGATGGTAGGAAACAGAATATACTCAAATAGATAAGATGTGTAGTTTGAATATTAGACTTTGTTAAGAATTGTGATAAAGAAAACTTTGGTTACCAAAAATTTGGAAATTATAAATATTAAATGTTAAATTTAAATATTGATGGGAAACTAAATATTGGGAAAAACTAACTACAGGACATTGACTGTTTATAAAGATTGAAAGTTAAAGTAACTAGGATATGTATAAGCTAAAAATTTATTGATAAATGTAACAATGCTATCTTTACTTAATGGATATAATAAGAATTGTATTATTTTAAATATGAGATAGTAGATATTAAGGGAAAAGGAGAGGACATATTTGATGTGATAGTTTGAGACTTGTATTAAAGATTTTGTATGTTATTGAATTATTGACTAACCCAGCTGCCACGTTGCTTTTTAAATACTTAAATGTAAAATTAGAAAATCAATAAAATATTACCAAAAAAAAAGAAAAAAAAAGAAAGGCAAACATGTGATAGCCTCTGGATATTATGGACTACAAGTCTCACAGTCCTTTGCCATGATGAACATTGATGATAGCTGAAGTCCAAATCATCTGGGGGAAACCAAACCATTTTCCCTGCTGTAGGAAAATTAAGAATGGCTGTTCCTATTATACTGTCCTGTTCACAATAGCAGCTTCATCTAGTAATTTTTATGGTACAGGATCCATTTCATTTTTTTTTAATGTAGGGCTACTTTTCAGTTCTGTTGCTAATGTATTCTTCCTTCATCTCTCTGATTTTATTCTCTTTCTTTTTTTTAAAATAGAAAAACTAAAAAGATCATCATGTTAGCTGCAAATCTCATCTTGACTGAAGGCCTGACCTTTACATAGAGGTCCTGACTAGCAAGCTTACTATCATCAACCTAAATAAAATTCCTCTAAAACTGCTAAAAAAAGAATTTTGACTTATTTAACAATACTTAGATGTTTAACAACCTTCCTCAGCTTATAATGGTCCCGACATATTAAAATGTGTTTCCCATGGTTTTCAGCCATCAGGGCCATAGTGCATTTTATTCAGTTGTGCTTCAAAATAGCCCAGCAAAATGAATATTCAGGCACATACAGAACAAAGCAATTATGCTGTCCAGGAAAATTACAGCAGCTGATTCCAGTCCCTCTGGAAAGGTTAGGAAGCATTCATTTAAAATGTACAGCTTCTCCGTTTGTTTGTTTTTTAAGTCTCACTGCATCCACTCTTACTCCTCAGTGTGTTCCAAAGTTTTTGTGTCCAATGTTTCTTATGTTCTTCTAATTGCCTGGAAAGCACTTATTGCAGTACACTATAGTCAAATCCAGATACACATATATATCTATTATCAATCAATGGTAAGTCTTTTTAATTAATCTAATTAATCATTGTATTTAACAATAAAAATAGGAATTAGAGAACCAGCAAAAGTTTTAAAGAGGAGAAAGGAGGAACTGTAAGAAAGATTTAGGAAAGTTTTATATTTAACAATTTACTCAAAGAAAAACAGATGTACCGTACATACCTCATTCCAGCAAAAACCTTAGGCTTTGGATGTTCACTCAAATTGTAGCTGCCTTTATGAATCACTTTGTGCTCCTGCTGCTGCTTTTCTGGAAAGAATTGAAACAGCTCCTCCCACCGTAGATGAAACTGATTTATGTTCCTACACCCATCTCTTCTAGTGTGCTCAAAGTAGCTGCTTTTGGCCTTGTGAAATTGTAGGCTTTTGATAGGCCACTGAGAATAAAATATAAATCATCCCAAGACACTGATAATTTCAGGAAGAGAACACCTTTTTCTGGATGCAAATATGAAGCTACCTTACATTTCATTATGCCTAAATGGTTTGTGTTGTCTTCTTTTTTCATTTGTCAATTGGTGATTTTTTTCTTTTTCCTTTTTTTGTATGGCACCTAGAGTGGTTTGAGTTGTGTGCCTTCTAAATGTTTAAATAAATAGCCTGCTTCTGCTCTTCAATTACTCCTGTTCAGTCTGTACATTTGTAATAGAAGTGGTAAACATTAATGACAATTTGTTATAAGTACCACCTGGAGGAAGTGTATGTATTAATGGGACACCAGGGGTTGTAAAATTATATGAAACTAAAGTGGAAGAAGAGAAAAGAATACTTTACTGGAAGGTTTTGTCCCTGTGTCTGGTCCATGTTTGATTGGAGGGTATGGTCAGCTGTTACAGGTGTCATTATACCTACATATAAAACCACTACTCTACAAGCTGCACTGTTTACTTTTGGGTGAATTATGATGACGGTTATCACACACAGAGCCCTACATGGCATAAAACTTAATGAATTGAAGGATGACCTGTCTCCCATAGCCACGATCTCATTGAGTAAACAGTGTCATCTAGTGGTATCCATGAATGTGCCTTCTTTGTCACGGCACCAGCCTTCTGCAGCAGATTACCCAGAGATTCAAATTACCCCTTTAAACAAGCCTGAAACTTGGCTCTTTCTCTGTGGCTTGGAATAGGGTGGGAGTTTAAGTTATGTGTTGTTGTAAGGAAAAAAGGGTTTGTATTTTTCTCTCTAGGTAACTATTGATATTGTGATGTTTCTTCCTTTTAAAATTGTCAGCAACCCAGAGTTATTTTGGAATTGGAGGGCCTTAGAAATGTGTTTTATAAAAAAATAAATGATGGTATTTTGGGGGGGGGGATATAATGCTTCTCCAAACAGCAGTTCTATCGGTTTTTGACTGGCTTAATGACTGCTGGCTTCTTTCCAACAACATATCTAACCAAATCAAATGACTTCATTTTTTTCTGGAAAGTAACAATCACCATTTAGCAAACAGAATCTCCACCTCAGCTCCACCATCAGGAGCTGCTTACATCCCACAAAGCTTTATATTGAGAGAGTACTGGCAAATCTTACTAGTTTTTCTCAAATGGGCACATAGGCTCTAGTTACACTATAGTTATCTGGTAGGGAGAAATTCTGTTCTGGTAGGTTTCAGCAATCAGGTCTGTAATAGTAAGCCCTATATTTTTTAGCCATTCTTTCTTCCTGTGTCCTTCAACAACACTGACTAGATTTAGCTGTTCCCATAACATGATTAACTGGGTGTTAAGTCCTTGAAGTGAAGGCGAAGGAAGAGGACACATTGCTGTATAACAACCCTTTATTGTGCTTTCAGTCAAAACTCCAACAACAAACAAAGGCACGCAGGCCTCCTTTTATATGCCCAGGTCCCCGGACATAATGGCAACATCATCAGGCACTTTTCGCGCCTTGTGCATGTGCGCAAAGCCGGAGCCACTCAGTCTGGTCCTGGGCAGCTTCTGCAAGCCCAGGACCATTGCAACATCCCGAGCCTGCATTTGCAGGCTCAGGACACAACACCCCTCCCCCCTAGCTTGGAACAATCCTGACAGTCAAGCATGGAAGCGAGTGCCTGAGATTGCCACCACCCACAATTCCTATCCTTGTTATGACAACTAAGACACTTAAAATCATAAGTAAAACAAAATACAATAGTAACTAATAATCTTAAGGTTAATACCCCTGGTAGCTGGTCAGCAACTTCACAAAGTCTGAAAGATATTTGGGAGGGCACTTGGCCCTTTGCGACCTCCTCGGACTGGGAGAGTTTGCTGGTTCCTTTCCTTTGCCCCCTAGGCTAGGTGAGCCAGGACATGTCTGCCCGCTTGCCTCAGGAGACCCTGGTATTGTTGCCTGACCTACCTGCTCACCTGCCAGGCTCAGTAGGTCAGGGCTTTGCTGCCCTGAGTACCTGGTTGATCTGCCCATCTGCTGGTTGGCGGTGCCCTCTGCGCTCAACCCAACATCCCTTGGAGGGGTGGTAGTCCCCGGATCCACAATGGACCCTTCTTGGGAGCACTGTCCCTCGAACCCAAAGTCAACAGATGGATAGTCAGGGGTGGCTACAGGGCCCCAGTATCCAGTGGACCCTAAGGTCAGGCCTGAGGTGCCAGAATCAGGAGTAGCCTCTCTGTTTGCTCCCCTTACAGAGGACTTTCTTCTGGGAGCAATTGCAGAATTTGGCCTGCTCCCCTGCTGTGTTGCCAGTTCTCTTGCAGAATGTGAGTTATTTGGATACCCTCGGTCGGTCTCCCTGTCTGGAGTATTGCTAGCTATGGGTGAATAATGTGGATACCCCTGGTGTGACTCCCTGGCTGGAGTATGTATGGGTGTATGGGATGGCCCCCTGCCCCATGACTTCCTGTTCAGAGCACTTGCGGAACCCTGTGATGGGGGATCAATGACCTCCTCAGCGGCCAGTAATGGCTGCTGACATTGATCCTCAGAATGCACTCTATAGCCTTCCTCCCCCCCAGTTCAGAGCCAGGAGCAGAAGGGTGTAGATCCAGCCTCACACGCAGCTGATCAATGTGCCGCTGAATAACACGGTTGTCAGCCAAAGACACTTCATAGGACAAAGGTCCCGAGACCTTGCAGACCACAGCTGGTACCCAGAGATGACCAGGCCCGTAGTTCCGAGTCCAGACCGGATCACCCACGTGAAGGCACCTTGGTGCTCGTGGATGTGGCACCTGAGACATCAACTGGTCAGGATGCAGTCTGTCCAGCTTAGTAATGAGCTGGCGACCCCAGCGGAGTTCAGCAGGACTCTTCCCGGTGGATGTGCAAGGTGTGGTGCAATGTGCAAGAAGAAAGTCTGCTAACCTGTGATGCCAGTCACCATAAGTCAGTCTCTTGAGGGCATCCTTGGTGGTGTGCACCATACGCTCAGCCATCCCGTTGGTGGATGGGTGGAAAGGAGCCGAAGTTGCATGGTGGATCAGGTTGGCTTGAAGAAAAGCCTGGAACTCAGAAGAAGTGAATTGAGGACCGTTATCTGAAACCAGAACATCTGGAAGGCCATGAGCTGCAAAAATACCTCTCAGCACCTGGATAGTCTTGGCAGTAGTAGTGGAGGTCACAGGAACAACCTCTAGCCACTTGGAATGGCTATCAACAACTACTAGGAAGAATTGCCCCTGAAAGGGCCCAACGTAATCAATATGTACCCAAGACCATGGTGTTAGGGTTTCCTCCCACCTATGAACTGGAACCTGAGGCATTTCAGGCCGGGACTGTTGGCACACATGGCACCCTTGTACCTGGGCCTCGATGGCTTTATCAAGGCCAGGCCACCACAAATGGCTGCACACAAGCGCTTTCATCCTGACTATTCCAGGGTGTCCCTCATGTAGAGAGATTAAGATTCTAGACCTCAATGAGGCAGAAATTACTACCCTACTTCCCCATAACAGGCAACCCTTGAAAGTGGACAACTCATGCCTCTTATGCCAGAAACTTTGGAACTCAGTATCAGGGCACTTGTCAGGCCAACCTGACAACACCCATGACAACACATGTGTAAGTGTGTGATCAGTGGCAGTTTCTGCAGCCACATCCCTAGCACTGAGGGGAGACTCAGGCAATTCTTGAATTGGCAGAATATTAACTGCTGGAGCAGGGTCAGGCTCCAAGACTGGCAGGGGTAATCTACTTAGGCCATCAGCATGGCCCATTTCCTTTCCAGGTTTGTGAATCAGCGTGTAGTCATATGCTGACAAGAAAATGGACCATCTCAGCATACGAGGAGAAAGGATATGTGGGGTCTGTTTGGTTGTGGTAAACAGCCCCAGCAGTGGCTTATGGTCAGTGTAGACCATGAAATGGAGGCCGTATATGAAATCATGAAACTTCCTAATGCCAGCCACAATGGCCAGCGCTTCCCTGTCAATCTGAGCATAATTACGCTCAGCAGAAGACAGTGTTCTGGAATAATAAGCCACAGGGACCTGTGTCCCATCAGCCATCAGATGGCTAAGGACAGCCCCTACTCCATAAGGAGAAGCATCGCAGGCAATGCAAACAGGCAGTTGCTCATTGAAGTGAGCTAGTACAGCATTAGAAGTAAGCAAGGCTTTAACCTCATTGAAACTTTCTTCATGGACCTTAGTCCACTGCCAACAGGCTTGTTTGTCTAAGAGCCTATGCAAAGGCTCAGCTATAGCAGCTTTATGTGGCAGAAATGCATGGTAGAAGTTCAAAAGGCCCCAAAAGGCTTGAAGTTCGCCCTTAGACTTAGGGCTTGAGGCCTGCTGAATGGCCTTTAATTTAGCATCAGAAGGGTGAATGCCTTGAGCATCTATCCTGAATCCCAAAAAGTCAGTAGAATTAACTCCTATCTTACATTTGTCTTTTTTTAACTTAAGGCCTACTCTTCTAAAACGAAGTAAGACAGCCCTTAATCTCTCTGCCAGGTTTTGGGATGATTCCCCTGCAATGAGGACATCATCAAAATATGCACAGACTCCAGGAATACCCCTCAATGTGGTTTCCATGACACTTTGGAATATACCAGGGGCTACATTCACCCCAAATTGCAATCTCTTTACCTTAAAAGCCCCTCTGTCGGTCACAATTGTTTGAGCTTCAGCAGCTGCCTCATCAATAGGCAACTGTTGATAGGCCTGTGCCAGGTCAAGTTTCGCAAAAATGCGCCCCCCTTTCAGGGAAGCCAGAATGTGACTTACTACAGGTACTGGATAAGCATGTTGCTGTAGTGCCTTGTTTAGTGTGCACTTGTAATCTGCACAAATACGTATGTCCC